TGTGATGAACCCAAAAATTTGGTATGTAAGACATTTGAGTGTATACATTTCTAAACTATTGTTTTGAAAATAGTTAAGGGGCCGGCCCCGTGGCTGGATGGTTAAGTTTGCATGCTCCGCTTTGGCAACCCAGGGTTTCACCAGTTCGGATCCTGGGCATGGACGTGACACTGCTCATCAGGCCATGCTGAGGTGGCATCCCACATGCCACAACTAGTAGGACTCACTACTAAAAAAAAAAAATGCAACTATGTACTGGGGTGATTTGGGGAGAAAACGCAGGAAAAAAAAAATGAGTAGAGAGCTTCACCTGCCAGGTGAATCTCACTTAAAAAAAAAAAGCGCTGTTAAAATATATTTAAAGTTTCTGGGTAAAAAATGGTAGATAAACACATGTATCTACTTTTGCACTACTAAAAATACACTAAAACTATAGCAAAGGGATTTTTTTTTTTAAGGCATAAATTCACAAGGACAGGGAAAGAGGAAAAGAGACAAGAGGAAAATACTTTAGGAAGCTGGGAAGCAGATGGATGAGTGGTTACTTAGACTAGAGAAGGCTGGATCCTAAAGCAACAATGGGGCGACCGTATGGCAAACGGAAGTGGTTGTGCCAGATGACTGACCATCCTGAGGAACAAGACCTAAAGATGCTGACATCAGCGGTTCCCAGCCAGATCCCCCTGCAGTGAAGCTCATGGCCCACAAGCTCCTTCCATGTACCTGAGCTGACAGAGCACAAACGTTTCCAATCAGCTTTTTGATAACCTGTCCTTAAACGTGAGCAGACAACCAAGGATTATAAGACCTCCAAGAAAAGAATCTAACATGAAAGAGACCAAAATAACAGAAAAAGAAATTTAGAGTAAACAGAGATTATGCAGAAAGAAGAAAACTTAAACAAAACTATCATGAATAGCTTTAGAGATAAGATAAGCTATTTCAACTCTGAAAATAATATGCTATAAAAGGGAATATTCGATTAATAAAAATAAAGTGAGTAATAAAACTTTTTTTTTTAAAGATTTTATTTTTCCCTTTTCTCCCCAAAGCCCCCTGGTACACACTTGTGTATTTTTAGTTGTGGGTCCTTCTAGTTGTGGCATGTGGGATGCTGCCTCAGCATGGCTTAATGAGAGGTGCCATGTCCCTGCCCAGGATTCAAACGGGCGAAACCCCGGGCTGCTGAAGCAGAGCGTGCAAACTTAACCACTCGGCCATGGGGCTGGCCCCTGAGAGTAATAAAAATCTTTAACACATTGAAAAACTCAGTAGCAGAATGGGAAGATAAAAAGTTGAGGAAGTCTCCCAGAAAACAAAGTGAAAAATATGGAAAGTAGGAGAGAAAAATAAGAAATCAGAAGGACCAGTCCAGCAGATCCATCACCTGAATTATATGAGTTCCAAAAAAGAAAGGACAGAGAAAATGGAACAGAAGAAATCACCAATGGGATGATTCCAGATTATTTCCCAGAAGTGAGGGGCAGTGAGTGCCCAGCACACAAACAGCCTTTCACCAAGACATATCGCTGCCATTTCAGAACACTGGAGACAAGGAGAGGTTCAGAGATGGGGAAAAAGTCACGAAGATAAGGAGTTAAAAGGCTGCAGACTTTTCAAGGATAGGGATGAAAGCTAGAGGTACTGTTGCAATGCCTTCATAATTCCAAAGGAATTCAATACCCAGCTAAATGATCAATCAAGTGTCAGAGTAAAATAATGTCCATGTCCAACATGCAAAGTTTCAAAACAGTTTACCTCCCCCTTTCTCAGGAAGCTTCTAGAAGATGGTCTCCTCTAAAAAATAGGGAATAAATCAAGAAAGAGGAAGACCTGGAAAATGGCAAATAAAAGATCTAACAAAGGAGAGAGGCAAAGAAAATGCCAAGGAGGATGAGAAAGGTGATGACAGATTGCCAGATGTGCAGGAAGGGTACAGGATGAAGACTCAGATTGGAAGTCTGAAGGTTCCAGCAGAGGTGTCTTCAAGAAGAAGAAGATGAGGGGCTGGCCCCGTGGCCAAGTTCGCACACTCTGCTTCAGCAGCCCAGGGTTTCGCCCGTTTGAATCCTGGGCAGGGACATGGCAGCATTCATCAGGCCATGCTGAGGCAGCGTCCCACATGCCACAACTAGAAGGACCCACAACTGAAAATATACAACTGTGTACTGGGGGGCTTTGGGGAGAAAAAGGAAAAATAAAATCTTTTTTTAAAAAAAAGAAGAACAAGATGGAATATCTGCTGTACCTAGATATTCTAAGAAGAGATTTAGGCAACCAGGGGAAGATCGTGTGATAAATACATAGAAAACTAAACAAATGAAAAAACAAGATAATTTTTTTTTTGAGGAAGATTAGCCCTGAGCTAACTGCTGCCAATCTTCCTCTTTTTGCCGAGGAAGACTGGCCCTGAGCTAACATCCGTGCCCATCTTCCTCTACTTTATATGTGGGATGCCTGCCACAGCATGGCTTGCTGAGCATGCCATGTCCGCACCCGGGATCTGAACCAACGAACCCTGGGCCGCCAAAGCGGAACGTGTGCACTTAACCGCTGTGCCACCGGGTCGGCCCCCAAGATAATTATTAGTTCCAGGGAAAAAAGTTTTGCAGGAAAGGAAGAGTAATCAAAGTTTTCTACATGGTTCAACTCTGAACAGCATATGTAGTCACAGTTTTGTAAGAACTGAAAATTGAACTACCAAAAATCATCGAATTAAATTTGGCAGATGGGAGATGGGAATGAGGTATAAGTGGTGGGGAGAGAGGAAGGGAAAAAGTTAAACCCTCAAATCTGCCTCCATTATTTATGGGGGCTGGGGCAAGACTACAAATTCTTGGAGACTCACATACTAAATATTTCAATGTTACAAATTAAGCTAACAAATACCTTCTAAACTTCTGACTTTACAAACACACCTTCATAAGGACCTGGAAGACCAGGTTCTAAATTAGAGTTTTTGGAATCCTCACAGTTCTACACTAGAAGATAGCTGCCCCCAGCCCCTGGCGCCTGCCTGACCCCCTTTCCTGCTGTCATTGCCTCTGTCCTGCATTAAGAGAGCCTCACACAGGGTCCTGTGGACACCCGAGCTTGTGCTCACGTCTCTGGTGGCAAATAGCTGCCCCTTGGCTACCCCTCAGGCATAGGGATGCCCACAACACCAGCAAAGTCTCCCTAGGAGGGGAAATCCAAGGAAGAAGCTGGTGCAGGACTGGGAAGGAGCTGGGCAGGGAATTCCAGGGCCCCAGGTATTCAGAATATGGCCTAAAAGGGGGTCTGTGGGCTTTGGTTGGGCATATCTGCTTGGATTCCTCCACCTAGGAGGGACACAGCTGGAGGAGGGCCAGAGATATGAAGGTAAAATGCTAAAAGAAACAGCTTGAAAGAGCTGAAAATGGCTGCCTCCGGGGAGGAAGAGATGATGGAGCCTGGGGCGCTTATGTTTTTCTTAACCAATCTTACAGTTATCTGACTCTTTAAAATGGATGTCTATGTATTCTAAGAAATACTTCATTGAAAAAACAAAAACTTTAAAAATAAAATGTGATTGATAAAAGTTTATGGAACCTCTGAACCACTTCTGCTATGCCTGGAGGTCTCAATAACAAAGTTTGAAAACCACAGGACTAGGCCCTCATTTGAACCCACTTAGGTGGGGCCAGCCTGGTGGGCAGCGGTTAAGTTCGCACGTTCTGCTTCTTGGCAGCCCACGGTTTGCTGGTTCGGATCCCAGGTGCGGACATGGCACCGCTAGGCACACCATGCTGTGGTAGGCGTCCCACATATAAAGTAGAGGAAGATGGGCACAGATGTTAGCTCAGGGCCAGTCTTCCTCGCCAAAAAGAGGAGGACTGGCTGCAGTTAGCTCAGGGCTAACCTTGCTTGGAAAAAAAAAAAGAAGCCATCTAGGTATTGTGAGGAATATGAACCATAATGGAGTTTCTCTCTTCAGTGGCTCCCAAGAATGAATCCCCCTTCCTTTCCTCTCCTTTAATTTAGGACTTCTACTTCCTGTTGGTTGTTTCCCTACCTTTCCCCTTCTAGACTCTAACTTTCTTGCAAGCAGGACTCGGTTCACAATTCTTTGTATCTCCAGAACCTAGTACAGTACCAAGCACAGAGTACAGGCTCAGCTAAGTGTTGACGAATGAAGGAAAATGGAAGCATCTTTACCCAGGCTTTGGAGGGAAGGTGTTTCATCCCTTTCGGCACCCGTTTGCTTGGGGCCCTGTCAGTTACTAGCCCTGAGACCTTCAGCATATTCATTAAATAGCTTTGGTTTATAATTCCCTTATCTGCACAACATCGTATTTATCGCACATCTTTAATTCTTATAAAAGATTGGGCCCCAGTCCCTAATTGTTCACCGTCTGGTGGGGACCAGATCTCAAAAGAAGTAACTTCAGGGTCACGTGAGAAGCACGTGCATGCCCCCCACCCCCGCCCAGGGCAGGGATTTCGGGGGATCTGTCTGCTTTTTTTCCTCAAAGACTGTATGCCCAGCGCCTGGAACAGTTCCCGCACATAACGGCACATAACGGGTGCTCAATAAATAGTTGTTGAAAGAATGATTTAATTAAAAAGTGTTAAAAATAACTATGCACGGGATAAAAAACGCTTTGTGAGGTGCAAAGATACCCCTATATTCGGAATGAATACTTCGGTCCAGCTCCTGGTCCTGGGAGCGAGCGCGTGGGAGCCCGCCGCTCCGAGCGCCCGTGCGGGGCGGCCGCGCCAGCCGAGTTGCGAAGGCCGGGAGGGGGCGGGCGGGAAGGCAGGAGAGCCCGCCCGGGATCGCGCTCAGGCCGCTGCGCGCAGCCGGGGGCTCGGCTCCAGCCCTCCTCCAAAGCCCGAGCAGGCGCGCCCCGCCCCCCGGTGGGCGGGACCCGGACCCGGCGGCGCGGGGGCGGGGCCTGGCTCTCCGCGCCGGGGGCGGGGCCAGACCCGGGAGCTCCGGGCCGGTGCAGGGCCCGGCTGAGCGGCGGGAGCCACCGGACTCCCGGCCACCAAGGGGTGCGACCCCCCACTGGCCCCGCCTTCCCGGCTGCGGCCCGGCCAATCAGAGCGGCTTTTACTGGCGGGTGGGCCGAGCCGGCCCAGCTGCTCGGAGGCTCTGGCATGGTAACGTCCCCGCGCGGGGGTGGAGGGGCCCGGGGCGGTCCCACAGCGTCCCCGGCGGCCCGAGCCTGGGCCCGGGGGGCGGGAAGGCTGCCGGGGGTACCCGGGACCCCGGGGGAGGGCGCAGGGATTGAGAGGTTAGGGAGAGAACCCTGAGAGGGGGGGGGGGGCGGGGGTTTGGGGGAGAAGGGGTGGGGGAGGCCATGATGGAGGATGGCTGGGGGTGGGGGTGGGGGTGGGGTGTTGAGGGGAGCGAGAGTTGCGGGACTGGATGAGGAGGAAGAAGGGAAGAAGCGAAGGGTGGGTTTGTGGAGAAAGGTCGGAAAAGAAGGGAGGGGGCGGGAGATGTGGGAAGCGTGGGACAAGGGGAGAGCTGAGGGCCGCAGTTTCCCCTCTTGGGATATTTGGCGTGCGACATGCCCCTCCCCTAGACCCAGTGCGTGTCCCCTTTGGAAGCTCTGGATGCCCCACAAAACCTGCAGGAGACCCCCTCCTTCATTTCCCCACACCGTCTCCTGAGGTGAGGAGGGGGCATTGTCTCCTGAGGAAGGGGACTTTCGGCCCCCACCCAGTCTTGGATAGTCCGAGAAATGGACCAGCAGAGGCCCCCTGGTCCCGACCCTGGCTTTGCCATCAACAAACTGTGTAACAATTCTGTGTGACCTTGGGCAAGTCACTACCTTTCTTTGGGCCTCAGATTTCCCATCGATTAAAAAAAAAAAAAAAAAAGGAACATGCGTGAGAATGATATCTCAGATCTCTTCCAGCTCCGAAATGGGGTGGTTCTTGAGAGAGTTCAGGAGAATGGGTTCTAGAACGTGGGGAAGCGAGGAGGATGGAGTTGGAGGCGAGGCCTTCAGCTGGGGCTGCAGAAAATCCCCAGGGATATGGGGGGGGATGGGAGGCACAAAGCCTGCAAGGCTGGGGCAAGCTAGCCAGCGCCTCTGGAATCCTGTTGAAGGAATGGAAGAACTCTAAGTAGAAGAGGAGGCTGAGACTTAACCCAAGGAGGATGAAGACCAGAAGGAACATTCTGTTCTTCAGAGGGAGAGGGACAAGGAGATGGCAGTATCAGAGAGAAGCAATGGAAGATATTTTCTAGAAAGACAGCCAGTATCTTTGGGGAGTGGGAAGAATAAGGCGGCTGGTACAGGGGAGTGGGGACTAGGATGGTCGTGAAAACAGGGAGAGAGGGGCTAGTGCTGTTGGGTGAGCTGAAGAAGGGCAGCAAGTAGACAGACCACAGGGTAATCAGCTGGTCTCTCAGCCTCCACGATACTTTTCTTTTTGATGATGGCTACCTACCTCTTTCTGAGAGATGTGCCTCCCAGCCTTCGTTTTCCAACACAAATCCCTTCAGGGAGTGCGGCAGACCAGGCTAACCCAGGATCACCTGGCTGGCTGAGGATTTCAGGATTGTGTGAGGATTGGGGTGAAAAGAAAACAGGGGAATGAATTTGAGTGTAAGAAATACCTGTGGCGCCATCCTCCTTGCTAGGAGGCAGCTTTGTGGAGTAGCACAGGCTTTGGAATCAGACTTTTTGGATTCCAAACCTGCCTCTGTCGTTTAATCTCTTGTTATTTAATCTCTCTGAACCCCAGTTTCTTTATGTATAAAATGGGGATAATAACCTTTAAGATGGTTGCAAGGATTTAAATGAGTGTTTGGCATGGTATCTGGCTCATAATAAGCACTCAGTAAATATTAGCTATTAGTTGTTATTATTCCCTTTCCATTCTCTTTCTTCTGGCTCTGCATTCTTGTCCTTTTCTCCTTTTGTTCTTTTTTCTGAATCTTTACTTTTGACATACCCCACAGATGTGGAGGCTAAGAACTGATTGCATCTTGGTGGGGGGGAGTTCTTCCACTGGCCCAGGTGAGCACATGTTGATCAAATGATCAATTGTCTCTTCCTCATCTCTCCTCAGCCCACAAATGTGTTTTTGTTCCAGAGAAGACACAGGATCTGCTTCTCTTTCAGCTCCCTTTTCTGTATCCCTCTCTCACATGAGTTACTTTTTCAGATTCTCACCCAGAAGTGTAATAAAACCTAAAGTTGTACAGGCACTGCAGCAAGTGACATAGGAACAGAGGTGTTTCAGGAAAGAAAGAAAGTATACACATCCCACAGGGGAGGCTCAGGGAAGGGAGGGCTTCAGAAGTTCTATAGTAATTTACGTTCATTCTGTTGCTCTGGTCTCTGTGGGGAACTGTCCAAAACAGGCCATGTCTGCATCCTGGCCAGGGGTCTCCATTCCAAGTTAAAGATGGTCATATACAGTTAGTATTTTATTATTTAGGTTTTCCCATGCCATTATTTGATTCCACTTCCCTTTTCTCATTCACGCAGACGTCTGCCAAGCTGCCTCTCATTACAGTCAGCCTTTACCCAGAGAATTTATACAGATGTACCTGGGACCTGCGTACACACACATTTGCCTACTTTAGGATAGTCCAGTATGCAAAAATAAGGTTAGGGATGAGTCTGCATTTTATCACAGCACTTTGTGTGCAGGGCCCTGACTAGACACTCAGAGGAGGCTTAAAAGGAAAAAATTCAATCCCTGAATGTAGGGAAATCCCCACCTGAGAGGGAGACGCATTCCCATGTGAAACACCCAGAAAACATCCACCGAGTAGCATGTCACTCTGTGCAAAGTAGTGCAGCATTTATCCTGAGGGGACACGGGTAGGTAGGAGTGTGTATAAGTGGGGAGGGTAGTCATAGAGGTAACTTGAAGGAGGTGAATATGGTTTATCTTGAACAAAGTGAGAGACAAAAGTGGAATAAAAGAAACAAGTGGAGTAATCTAACAATTCCTGTGCAGAGAGGAGGAGGGAAGCCATTGAGTCAGGATGAGCCGAGAAGAGTGTGAGTGGGCCCTGTTGAAAGGCTTTGAATGTTAGGTAAGAGATTAGGGTGGGCAATGGGGAGGCACCACTAGTTCTTAAGCAAGAACATGTTGGATCCTTGCTGATTTAACCACATGGGTCACAGGGGCTGTGCTAGAGAGAAAAAGCAGACCTGCTTCCTGTAGGAAGGACTGTGCTTTTAAGGAAGTAGGGCTGGAGGGCGGATTGGATCTGGTACTAGCTGTATCCCCAGCCAGCAGTGGGACCTTGGACTGATTATTCCCCTTTAATTTTCTCATTTAAAAGAAGGGGATTATCTTTTTTTTTTTTTTTTTTTTTACAACTGTGACATTCTGTGTTCCCCCAGTAACTACCAGCCTTTCCAATAGCTTTGTTTTGTGGAATGAGTCTAACAGTCATTAACTCAACAAATATTTATTAGCACCTACTGTGTGCCAGTCAGGAGTAGTAAGGAAAATAGAGTGAGATAGGATATTGGGGTGAGCAAAAACAGTCCCTGCCCTTTAAAGTTTTCAGCCTAGTGAAGGCAGCAGATATTTCATTGATTCTAAGACACACATTTTAACATTTCTGAAGTCAAGAGGCATCTTAAATTCAGTTGAGTATCATAAATCAGTTGGCAGCATTTGTTTTTTATTAGTGCCACATAAAATAATAGTACAATCAGAATTGTACAAATAACTGTAAAATTCTAATGGATAATTGCTGAAGGAGAAGGTACAAGGTGTATGACCATGTGTAAAAGGGCTCTGACTAGTCCACCGGGTTAGGAGGAAGGCTTTCCTGGGAAATGACAACTGGATAGATGTGAAGGATATGTAGGCGAGGTGTGTGGCATTAGCAGGAAGATTGCCCCAGGCAAAGGTGGATGCCCGAGGTGGAGAACTGAGAGGTGAGTGTGGCTGGAGCCAGACCTGGAAGCTCAGCATAGGTGAGGCTGGCAAGGCAATTGGGGAGCAAACCTGCCACAGCCTCCCAGGCTCTGGGCAGGGGTTTTGGTCTTTACCCTAAGAACAATGGGAGCCATCAAAGAGTTTTAAGCAAGGGAGTAACATGGTCTGAGTGCATTTTGATGATCTGCAGATTGGAGTAAATGTGGGGAGACCCCTGCATTTTGGGAGCCCACTGCAGTAGATCAGATGGAAAAAGGGGTGGTGAGGTTGGAGGAGGAAATGGAGAGAAATAGATTTAAGAAATCTTTCGGAGGTAAAATGAAGAGAACTCAGTGATGTATTGACAAGGAAGAGGGAGATGTGCAGAGTGACTCACAGGTTTCTGTCTTGGACAACTGTATGGTGGCACCAGTCTCTGAGATGAGCAGCCCTGGAGCCTGGTAGGATCCAAAGATGGTTATGTAGCAACTGGGATGTTAGAGAGGATCCTAAGGCAGCTGGAGATGGGAAAGTGTGGCACAGGGAATTGGATTTCCTCCCATGTGGGTTGGTTTCTGACTTCCCATGCTGAGGACAGTTTCAGGGCATAGGAGCAGGTCTGAATATGGGACTAGGGTGAACACTGAGGAAAGGTGGTTCAAGTTGGAGTAGTTTGGCTTATCTCCTCTCCTCAGGACAGATAGTGCTAAAGGTAGATATTAGAAAGTATTTTTAAGGGCCGGCTCCGTGGCCAAGTGGTTAAGTTTGCGCGCTCCGCTGCGGTGGCCCAGGTTTCAGATCCTGGGTGCGGACATGGTGCCGCTCGTTAGGCCACGTTGAGGCGGCGTCCCACACCCCATGGCTGGAGGGGCCTGCAACTAGGATGTACAACTGTGTACGGGGGGGTTTGGGGAGATAAAGCAGAAAAAAAAAAGTATTTTTAAACACTGAGCCTTCTCAGTATAGTGTAAATTGGGGAATTAGGGCAGTTGGGCAGCAGTGAGGTGGCTCCCCTTCATCTAGCTACCACCTTTCCCTGGAACTCTTCCCTACCACCCTCCAACTTTTAAGCCAAGAGGAGGAAGGGCACGGCCTTTTAGCTTCATCTCCAGGCCTCGGTTCACTTAAAAAAATTATTTTTGAATGGATAATGTAGTCATATGGGTGCATATTCACAAAGAGCATACAGTGAGAAGTTTCCCTTCCACCTCTGCCCTGCTTCTACTGATTTGTGTGTTGTTATTTATCTCTGATTTTTATACAAATGATAAAACTTTGCTGCACTTTGCTTTTTACCCACTTGTTAATGTATATTAGAGATTGTTCCATATCAAGACAATGAGCTCCTTTTTTTTCTTTTGTGTTCATTCTTTTTTTATGACTGCATAGTATTCCATTTTATGCTTATGTATAATTTCATAGCTACTTACTGATGGATATTTAGGCTGAGTCCAGTTGTCTGTTTTTACAAACAGTGCTGAAATGGAAACCTTGTACACACGTCATTTTGGCCAGATGGGACTATATCTATAGGATGAATTTTTAAAATTTGGAAGTTTCTATATAGAGAGTATTTGTTCCTTCCTTCCTTCCCTCATTTATTCAATATTTATTGAGTTCCCATTATGTGCCAGATACTGTGGCAGGGACCAGGAATCTAGCTTTGAACAAGTCAGATGTGATCCCTGCCCTCATGGAATGTTATTACCCTCTAGTGAGGGGAAACATAATAATTACAAAGTTGTGTACACAAGGAAACTAAAGAGGGAATCAGAGAATAAATTGGAAGGATCTGCTTTAAATAGAGTCAGGGAGGCTTTTAGAGCAAGTGATATTTAAGCAGAGGACTAAAGGATGGGATGCGGCCAGCTATTACGTGTAGGACAGGGAGACCTCGGCTGTTCAAAGCCTCGTCCACAGAGAGGTGAGTTCAGGATCTCTGGGGCAGGAGGCGTAGAGCTAAAGAGATGAGGGAGATGATTGAGAGTGGAAGATGTCAAAGAGAGTGATTGACTAAAGATGAGGCCAGTTGGGGAGCGGGGCAGGTGGTGAAGAGAGGAGAGTTAGACTAGTACTTACGGAGGACTAGTTTGGAGGGCTTTGGGATTGAATCTCTGTAATGGTAAATTCAGGTGGGGAACAGAAAAAGAGGCCACTTCCTCCCTGGATACTTTGGGAATGAGAGACCCCTGTGTAACTGGTTTGAGGGAGGCACAGTCTTGCCCACAGGCAAGAGAATGGATGAAAAGCCTTGGGAAGGGCCAGTCTGTGCCTGTAGTGGAGTCTCCTCTGTCTTTTCTGTGGCTTTGGCAAAGTGGAAACTTCAAAATAAAGATGACATTGAAGGGCGTGGCTCTGGGCTGGCAGAAGAGAGAGCAGACCTACTCAGGACTCAGAGCTGTGGGTGGGCAAGAAATTGGGCTTGGAGACCCTTCCTCTGAACTTTGTGCTCCTTTTTCATTCTCACCCCTCTGCTTCCCTTCTGCAAGCCCATCTCTTTGCCCATCCTGGGTCCTATGACTTTTCTCTCCCTCAACAGTCGGTTCCCGATTCTGGTCCCCGGCCCCCAGCAGCGCCTGCCCCCTTCCCACCGGGGCCCCCCATGATGCCACCACCCTTCGTAAGTTTTATGTCTTTCCCTGGGCTTGGCTTTTCCAGCCTGCATCCCCAACTCCCCAGTCCCTAGCACTGCTGCATCGCCAGCACGGTTTTTGTATGGTGCCCCCTTCTGCTGCCCTTGGAAGAGGGATGGTTTTGCTTGGGCATTGGGGTGGGAGGAGCTGCTGTTAAGCTCTCAGCCCATGAAGTTGACAGTTCCCCCTTTGTCTTTTTGTCATCGGGACACGCTGGGGCTGGGGTAGGAGAAGTGGAAGGAAAAGACCCCATTAGTGTGAGGGCAGGTGGGCTGTCTTTCTCTTTCACTACTCCTTATCTGTATTCTTTAAATAGGCCACAGAAGTCAGGCTGGAATAGCAACTGGTAGTCATCAAGTTGGAGAAAAAGGGATGGGAGGCAGGGGACTGGGGGATTTGGGTACCTGGACACCTGCCTCTGGCCCTGCATCTGAGAAGCTTCTTTGGGGAGAGCTGCTGAAGAGGTGGAGCCTTCCAGCCACAGTCTGGTGGCGGTTACACTTCCCTTTTCCTCCTCCCTTCCCTACCTCTCAAGAAGCTGTGTGCTTGCCAGTTAGACTCAGAGGACCCCCCAGTTATCAGTCTTTCTCAGTGATGAAGAGGGAGGCAGTTTCATGCTGTGTACTTCTCAAACTAAAGCCTTGGAATTGCCTCAGAGCCGGGAGGGAGGGTTGGGAAGGGTGGGAGACAAGTGGATGTATCCTGACAGGTTTAAGGCAATGTCTCTCTGCTCAGTGTCTCTTCCTTTCCTCATTTCTAGATGCCCCCTCCAGGAATCCCCCCGCCCTTTCCTCCGATGGGGCTACCCCCCATGAGTCAGAGACCACCAGCTATCCCCCCCATGCCACCTGGCATCATGCCCCCAATGCTTCCACCAATGGGGGCGCCACCACCACTCACACAGGTAATCTTTTCCCCTGCACCAGGGCCTCAGAAAACCCTGTGAGTTTAGCTGTGGGTGGAGATGAGAGTCGGCATCAGGATTTCAGAAACTGGGGAGGGAATGGAGGGAGCTTCTGGCCAGGTCCCTGTGGATGTGTCTGCTAAATGACTGGAGAAACTCTAGGCGAGGCTGAGAGCCCCAAACCTGGAGATTGCCTGAGGAGCCCCCTGAGGATCATAGCCCCAGTCTCTCTCAGGACCCTGCCCACCTTGTGCCTGCCCTCACCTTGGTAGCTGGTTTTCGTCTTCTTTGTATCCATAGATCCCAGGAATGGTACCTCCCATGATGCCAGGAATGCTGATGCCAGCGGTGCCCGTCACTGCAGCGGTAAGCTCGGGGGCCGCCAGGAACCCCTGTGGGTCTGACGTGGAGGACAGGGATGTGGCTTCCATTCTTTCTCTCTTCTCTTTGGATCACCTTGGTCCCTGGCAGCACTGCCCACACTTGAGTTCTCTTCACCCATGTACTCTGCTCTTCTGGTTTCCCACTCATCCCCAAAGGCATGCACATTGTCTCTTGTTACTCCCTCCCCCTGCTGTGCCCAGCTCCCTTAAGGAACACACTCATGTCGGACACTGCTTACCCTCGCATAGCTAGCACTGTGGACACTTGAATGCAGCCCCCTCTTCACATCTTCTTTGCCTCTGGAGGAAGCAACAGCATCTGCGGATCTCGCTGTACCTTCTTGTCCCGTTGCTCAGTGTAGTAAGAGTCTGGGTAGGAGGTAGAATTTGGTATCCACTGGGCCTTGGAGGTCGACTCAACAAAATACTCTCACTTGAGGAAAATGAAGAAAAAAGCTGCTGTGTGATTCGCCCTGGGATCCTAGAGCCACGGCCCCAGAGGGTGGGGGGAGCATGTTAGGGAGTGGAGATCCCTGGGAGCAGGACACATGGATCCTGGCCTGGCCTGCTTCTCTGTCCCCCATGGCCTGGGTCCTGGGGGCCACTGGGCTTGGCCCCAACCCTTCCCCCTCCTCTTTCTTCGGCAGACGGCTCCAGGTGCGGACACCGCCAGCTGTGAGTCTTCTGGGGGCCTGCTCCCCCCAGGCTCGGAGGTTGGGGGGACAGGGGAGAGGGGACCGTGGACTAGAGCCCACCCTGGATCATGCCTGTTGGGATGCCAGGGAGCCTGGGATGTTGATGGGACCAGGGGATATTTACTGGGGATGGATAAGGGAGGAATAGTTGGGGATAAGATGGGAGTTGGAGCGAGACATTAATATATTTCCTTTGGCTTCTTTTCTAGCTGCTGTGGGTGGGACAGGTCCTCCGGTGAGTTCTTCCAGCTCAGGGGTCTCTGGGTAGAAAAGCTTGAAGCGGGGGGCTGTTGGTTAAATCTTTGGGGTGAGGAGGAGAAGCTTTGGGAAAGGGGCCTTGACCACCATTCTGTGCCCCCCTCCCCCAGAGGGCCCTATGGAGTGAGCATGTGGCCCCTGATGGGCGCATCTACTACTACAATGCTGACGACAAGCAGTCCGTGTGGGAGAAGCCCAGCGTGCTCAAGTCCAAGGCAGAGGTCCTGAGTGGGGCCTTCTGGCCCTTCCTTTCAGCTGCCCTGACCCTTCCAAGTCCTTGGCCTTCCCTAAGTCTCTAATCATACACATGGTTCCTCTGATCCCAAGATTCCTGGCCACCCCCAACCTCCCTAAGCTCTCAGGAAATCCACCTTCCCCCATGTTGAGCCAGGCCAGGTGGTAGCTAAAAACTCCTGTGTCCCCTACTCACTGGGTTCCTTAGCTCCCCCGACTGTGGCTGGAGGGCATGCCTGGCCCACTGATGTCCTCTGACCCATCCTCTTGTAGCTGCTGCTGTCCCAGTGTCCCTGGAAAGAGTACAAGTCGGACACAGGCAAACCTTACTACTATAACAACCAGAGTAAGGAGTCCCGCTGGACCCGGCCCAAGGACCTGGATGACCTGGAGGGTGAGGAGGGAGTGGGCCCTGGGCAGGGCTCTGGGGGATGGCCCTTCACACCCTGTGACCGTGTTATCTTTTCCTATTGCAGCTCTAGTTAAACAGGAGGCTGCAGGGTGAGTGACTTGTCCCATCCATTCACCTGAGGGGTGGGAGTGGACTCTCCTCCTGATCCCTACTTCGTGGGAGAAAGAGCCAGCTCTCAGTCTCCTTGTGGAGTGGTCTCCTCTGGCCCCAGTCCTTCACAGGATAGACCAGCCAGCCCCTGACTACCTCTATCCCTGCTCTACTCCTGGACACTGCCCTTCCGGCTCATCTGCAGGAAACAGCAGCAGCAGCTGCCACAGACACTACAGCCGCAGCCTCCTCAGCCACAACCTGACCCCCCACCTGCGCCTCCTGGCCCCACCTCAGTGCCCACAGGCCTCCTAGAACCTGAGCCAGGTGGGAGTGAAGATTGCGATGTGTCAGAGGCTGCCCAGCCCCTGGAGCAGGGGTTCCTTCAGCAGCCGGAGGAGGGCCCCAGCAGGTGAGGGCTGCCCCCTGCAGCATTCCAGATGCAGCCTCAGGCTCCCAGCCTGGTTCAAACCTTGACCTCTGCCAGGCCTCTTGGGAAGGGCGTGAAGATCTGGGTGTGATCTCTGAAGGGCAGAAAAGGGCTGCTCTGGGGAGCAAGGAGGGGGTGGTATGCTGCTGATCATGCAGGGCACTGAAAGCTATCGGGACTAGGGGATGCTGTGGCTGAGTCCCCTTTGCCCCCCAGTTCTGCTGGACAGCATCAGCCACCACAGCAGGAGGAGGAAGAATCAAAGCCAGAACCAGAGAGGTCTGGCCTCAGTTGGAGCAATCGGGAGAAGGCAAAGCAGGCCTTCAAGGAGCTGCTAAGGGACAAGGTGCTGGCGGGGGGCTCCCAGGGTAGGCCTGGAGGGGGCTGGAGGTGGGCAGGCCCCGTGACCCCCGCCTGCTCCATTCTAGGCTGTCCCCTCCAACGCCTCGTGGGAACAGGCCATGAAGATGGTGGTCACCGACCCCCGTTACAGGTAGGCCTGGGCAGAGGGAGCCAGGCCCTCCAGGCCTTGTTTATGAGAACAGCTGGGCCAGGGACTCCCTGAGAAACCCTAGCTCAATACTCAGGCCCCAAGGGGACCAGAGTCAGGAGAGTGATAGATGGATGAGGGTGCAAGGGGAAGAGAAGCTGGAGGGCCTCCAGGAGGAGGGGAAGGTGTCTGACATGAGACATTCAATAAATGCTTGTTCAATTGAATTGATTCGAATTGAATTAATTGGGGAAAGAGGGGGCTGGATAGGGCAGAGCCCTGCCTGCGACTTGAGAACCCTAAAGCAAAAGGGCCCTGTATTAGCAGTGTCTTGGAGCCCTGTCCCTTCTCCTCACTGCCTCTCACCCTTCCCCATGTCCCAGAGACCTGTCTTGCCTCCCTGGGCCCTTGGAGCCCCGAGCTTGCTGTGCCCATGCATGGACCCCTCACTCAGTTCTGTATGCCATGACCCTGCTTTGTGGGCTATGCAGGGTGGTTTAGGCTCATTCCTTTATCCCCACCCCACTCGCATCCTCTCCACCCCAGTGCCTTGCCCAAACTGAGTGAGAAAAAGCAGGCATTCAATGCCTACAAGGCGCAGCGGGAGAAGGAGGAGAAAGAAGAGGCCCGGCTAAGGGCCAAGGAGGCCAAGCAGACCTTGCAGCATTTCCTGGAGCAGCACGAACGCATGACCTCCACCACCCGCTACCGGTCAGGGGGCCAGGCTTGGGTGGGGCCTGGGAACCCCGAGAGCACATGGTCCCAGGGTCTCTGTTCTCCGCCTGCCTACCCACAGTCCTTATGCTCCACAGGCGGGCAGAACAGACCTTTGGGGAGCTGGAGGTCTGGGCTGTGGTCCCTGAGAGGGATCGAAAAGAGGTTTATGATGATGTCCTCTTCTTCCTGGCCAAGAAGGAGAAGGTAACAGTCATTGGGCTGGATCCGTCAGCCCCGTTTCATCTTAGAATCCCCATGTCTTTGCTTCCTGAAAGATCCTGGCCATTCACTTCTCCACTGCCCCAGGGTCCCAGCTCCTTAGTTGGAAGCCGGTGTGGCACTTGTACATCCCGCCATTTCTGCTCTGGGTCTACAACCTTACGCATGAGAGAGCAGAGGGCATGACAGGAGTCTCTGAGGGGTTGGTCTATAAACTCTGCTCTTTCCCCTTTCACGGGACATGAAACCCTTGAGTCTGGCCCTCCTACATTTCCCTAGCTGCCTGCCTTTCCCCAAATCCTCCTCTGCGCAGGCCCACATGAGTAGCCGTGGCCTGCCCTGCCTGACCCTGATCCTGTGGCTCCCCAGGAACAGGCCAAGCAGCTCCGGCGCCGCAACATCCAGGCCCTGAAGAGCATCCTGGATGGAATGAGTAGCGTCAACTTCCAAACCACATGGTCCCAGGCCCAGCAGTACCTCATGGATAACCCCAGCTTTGCTCAGGACCACCAGCTGCAGAGTAAGCCTGCTCTCTGGTCCTGCCTGTCCCCTTCTCTTCAAGGATCTGAGCCTCCAGAGCCTGTGGCACACAGCTCCCTTGCCCCTCCTGGACATCCAGGAGTCCCCAGCACTCACTCCCTGTACCTCTCTAGACACTGGAGATCCCAGAATGCTTCAGGACACCCCCTCCCTCCCTTTGGGATTCACTGTTGGCATGGGCATTGTGTGTCCTTGAAGGAAGAGCTCTGGCACTGGAATCAGAAGACTTAGAGATGATGATTTTTATAGTTCATGTGAATATGGTCTTCAATTGTCATAGCAATGTGGGCCTTAACTGGTCACACATGTTGCAATAAGCTGTTGTTGGCCTGTAATCACTGATGATATCAGAAATTTACCTTCTGAGGTTGCATCAAAACCTGATTGATTGATTCCCAGTTCCATAAAATGTAAAACCTCAGATCCCGAGACAGCTGGTTTCATATGGTGACTTCAGTAACTGAATTCACAAGAGCTGAATATTTGCTTATTTTTTCTCATACAATTAAGGAACCTTCCTCAAGAATCACCATTCCAGTAGCCTCTCCCACAGAGCTCTCCGCCTGCCTTGGCCCACCACGCTGAGTGTCCCTGGTACCTACAGGGACAACATGCTCAAAGCACTGGGGGTGCTGGGGTCTGAGAGGGTGTCCTGCTGGTGCAGTGCCCACTGAACTTCTCCCTTTGCTTAGACATGGACAAGGAAGATGCGCTGATCTGCTTTGAGGAGCACATCCGAGCTTTGGAGAGGGAGGAGGAGGAGGAGCGAGAGCGGGCCCGTCTTCGAGAGCGGCGCCAGCAACGCAAGAACCGGGAGGCCTTCCAGGTATCTTTGCTGCCCCCTGGATCAGAGTTCACTCGGCCCTGGATTTTTGCCCCTCCATCCGTACCCTGCCTCCTTGGCCAGGCCCACTGTTTTGTCTATCCCCAGCCCTGACCCACCTCTAGGAGGTCTCTCTCTGTCTGTAGTTCTGCTCCTGCTTTGTCCCCTCTACTCTGGGCAGAGCTCCTCTAGGGAGACTAGATGTTTGCACCACCCAGAAACTGCCAGCAGAGAGCACCTTAAAGGCACAGCTTGGCGGTTAGGCCAAGTTTATTTCCCTTCAGTGGGGAGCCAGACAGGCATAACTAGCTTATTCTTCAGCTTGGAGGTGGTACTGGTGGTGGTAGAGGTGGGGGTTACTTAGCTGTAACACACTAGGAGGTTGAAACCAAGTCATGGGAAGATTGTACTGCAGGCACGTTTCTGTTTCTTTGCCTCCCAGCCTAGTTCCTTATGTTTTAGTCTGTCCCTCTCTGTATTTACATTCTCTCCTTTCACATTGCTCTCTGCTTCCCCATCTGTATCTCTTCATCTCTGCCTTCCTTGCCTGTATTTCCTCTGGATTGTCCCTGCCTCTCCCTGCCATCCTCTCTCTTCCTCCCCAGTCTTTGACTCTGCCTCCCTCCTTGTCTCACTCTTCCTATAACTGGCTCTCTCCCTGCTCAGACCTTCCTGGACGAGCTGCACGAGACTGGGCAGCTGCACTCTATGTCCACCTGGATGGAGCTGTACCCAGCGGTCAGCACTGATGTCCGCTTTGCCAACATGCTGGGCCAGCCGGGTAAGGCAGCCAGGCTCCCCTTTCTCTGGCCTGGCTTCCTGCCCTGCCAGCCTCTCGGCTTCCCCACTCCCTGGTCCTGTCCTCGACCCCATCCCCAGGCCTTGGGAAGCTGCCGCCCGCCAGGCCCCCCTCCCTCCCTCCCCCGCAGGCTCCACCCCTCTGGACTTGTTCAAGTTCTATGTGGAAGAGTTGAAGGCACGATTCCATGATGAGAAGAAGATCATTAAGGACATCCTTAAGGTGAGGGAGGCCTGGGGTTGTGGTTGGAGGCAGGCTGGGGACAGGGCACACCCCCGGACAGGGCTCCCTGATAAGTCCTGTCTTGCAGGAGCATTGCAGCTCTGTTGAGCAGATATCTACTGTGATCCTTTACTGTGCACTGGAGACGCAGGATTGAATGAGATACAATTTCTGCCCATAAAGAACTTATGGCCTACTAGGAAGATAAACATGACACCTGTTACATAGAGGGGCAAGTTATTACAGGGATAAGAATCAGAAGCATTGACATCTGAACTGTACCTTTATGAAGGAGTAGGCGGAGAGGGTGGAGGTCCCAGGCATAGGGTACTACAGGATGAAGGCAATAGGGTGGAAAGGATGTGGCAGGTTTGAGGAGCAAGAAAGCCCAGCTAGCCATAAACTGGCAGCCCACAGATGTGTTCCTTCTGGCCTGTACAATGTTTTTAGAAAAATTTAGAATTTATTGCTGACATTTTAAAATCAGGAGATTACACCATAAAAATCTGGATCTTCGGCTTCTCTTGAAAATTTGGATTACCTAGCAACACTGGGCTGGTTCTGCAAGGCATTCAGTGGACTCAAGCTGAGATGCCACTCCCTTTTAGAAAGGGCATGTCATCCTTATCCTTACCTTTCCTTGTCACCTCCCTGATGTGACAGCGAGTTCAGCTGCCACATACCATCACACATGTGCGCTGCTTTTCTTATGCTGGAGAAGTAGTTCTTAATATCCATGTTTATTGAAGGTGGAAAAGTGAGTGAGGGACTAAGAGAGCCTTGTGTTTCAGAAGAAAAAAACAAAGAGCCTATTTCTTTGTGGAAGTGAAGAACAGTCTAATGCATTTGAGGAGGCAGAATAGCACAGTGGTTAGGAGCAGGACTGTGGAGGCAGACTGCCTGGGGTATAAGCTTAACCACTTAAGAGTTGTGTGGCCTTGGGCAGATTACTTAACCTTTCAGAGCCTCAGTTTCCTTTCTGAAAAATGAATTTTGCACTAAAGTACACCTCATTACAAGATCAATAACTTGGTACCTGGGTGAGAAGGGTCTGAGAATAAAACTAGAAATGTCCCTCTGCATACACATTTCTTTGAAGTCCTGTATTTTGCCTTACAAATTCATGCAGGTGTTGCATTTTAATATATTACTTCTCTGTTTAATATAAATTTAATATTTTAAAATTACTTACCATTAGGTAAGATATATCATATTGTCCTGTGGCTTCCTCTGTTTCTCTGGAACCGCCTGCCCCAGTTTGGAAGTAGAGCCCTATGTGTAAAATGCCTTGAATGCTAAAATAAGAAATTTGGATTTTTATCTTGTAAGTAATGGGGAGCTGGGGAGTGATATGATCAGACAATGACTTGGAAAAGCCACTGGTGCTAGTGGAGAGTAGCGCCTCTCAGCCTGAGAACTGGTATCCTTAGGGATAGATGGTGGTAGGAGGACAGATCTTGAAGCCTTGGGATACTGAAAGTGATAGTGGCAAGTAATTCACATTTTGAGCTTGAGTCATCATCTTCTGACTCACCCCCAGACCTCTCCCCTGCTGTTGGGGCCATTCGGTAGAAAAGTCTGAGCAGCACTGGACTCTTGAGGCTGGGTTAGAGGTGTGGGGGAGGGTGCACAGGGAGCCCAGTCAGGAGGCTGTGGTCTGGGTGGGCAGTGAACTTGGGTGGGGGCGGCGAGGATGGGGATGAGGGGAGAGCTGTAGTGCTCTGTGTGTCTGAGACCCCCTTGGTTTCCTCAGCGGTGCCTTGGGACAAACAGGGGGTGTTGAGTAGCGGGGATTTTAGGCTCCTTCCTCTATTTTCAAGTACAGCACCTTGCTTGTCTTTTATACATAGAGTTGCTACATAAGATTTACATGGAAACAATGTCTCTGCTATTAAAAAAAAATAAGAAAGTTTAAAACCAGTAGGATAGAGTCACTCAGAAGTAGAATTGAGAGATTTTTTTGTGAAATTAAGGGAAAAGGAAGAGTGAGTTAAAGTTGACAAGAGTGGATGATGGTACCATTGGTAAGGATTGAGCAGAAGAGCAGGGCTGGAGAAAATAGGAATTCCATTTGGGGAATTATCCTCAAAAGCAACCTGGTAGGGAGGAATAAAGTAAATACCAATTTTAGATAGGATAATCATATAAAGTAGAAATATCTAATCCCAGAGAAGCTAAATTTTATTGGACACTTAACTTTTAGCCACAGAGTGGCTAGTCCTGCCAGTAGGCCTGTAGGAGTCCTGTCCTCGCTGAGTCCTGTCTGTCCAACCTCTTGAGAAAGAAGCTTCTTTAGAAAGTTCCCCTTCCAGTTCTTCCTTTTGGGCTTCTGCCTGTGGAAGCAGACAAGCCCAGGAGTCCCTGTGGCCATCCACCCACCGCACTGTGATGGTGCCTGTCATCCCATAGGTAATGCAGAGAGCCCTGGACTTGGAATAGCTGAAAGATCTGGGCCTGGGGGGGGCGTGTCACAGGAAATAAACTCGCTTGGCATCTGCTGAATTTGAAGTGTCTGAAATACCCAGTCTATTATGGGCCCGAAAATCAGGAGAGGGGTAGGGGTGAGATTGCTAGGGACAGTGTAGATTGGGTAGTGAGAAAAGATTAAGTGCTGTTCCCAGGGGAACAAGTGCATGCAAGAGAGGTGGTAAAAGAGGTGAGAGAGAGAGGTGAGGACACTGGAGAGAAGAGTGTCTAAGAAGTGAATAGCAGAGGTGCTGAGCACCAGACGAGCAAGGACCGAGAAGGGGCTCTTGGAGTTGGCTGTTAGGACATGAGCAACCTTTGGGAGAGCAGTGTCCATGAAGAGGGTAGAGTGAGTGCACACAGGCTTCAGAGTCATAATTCCTGGCTATTTATTGGGTGAGACCTCTGCAAGTTATATAATGTCTCTGAGCCTCAGTTTCTTCATCTGTGAAATGGGGATAATTTATGTGCAAGGTTGTGAGAATTAATTGCTAACATTTGTGAAGTGTCTTGCTTATAGTAGGCTCAATAAATGTTTATTCGCTTTTCTTTGTGCTACATTTAAAGATCGTGAAACAAAGGGAAAGAAGCAGAGGTTGTTAGCATGAGGAAGGTGAGAGCAGGGTGGATGGGATGTTCCAGGTTAAGTGAGTTGTGTGCTTGATGGAAGGAGTCAGTGAGGAGGTGAAATTGAAGGCTTCAGTTCCCTAAGAGAGAGATTGATATGTTTGAGGAGAAGGGCTGGAGAGTGTGGGTTAAGAAAGTCCTCTTGGAAGAATTCTCGCAGGAAGAACATGCCTCTGCCACCAGCAGGAAGGCCAGAGCAAGTTAGAGCTGTGTGGAGGGAGAGGAAGGGGATCTGGGCCTGTGCCCCAGCTAACTCGAGAGCCAGACATCAAACTCTGAGGGCTCCACTCTCCACCATGTTGTCTTGGGCCAAGCGAGATAACTTTGCTAAGCTTCTGCTTCACTGGGGTATTGTGAGGCTTAGAGGAGAAGCAAAGAGCCTGGCCCAGGGTGCTTCAAGAATGTAAGGTATTTTAGTATTGTTTGGGAGTTGCACACCTGGTGGTTTCTGTTTGTCCCCTGGACTGAGTGGTCTGTGTGTTATCCTTAACAGCACAGGCTTTGGAATTTGAAAGACCTGGGGTAGAGTTCTCACTCAGCCACATATTAGCCTGAGACCTTGGGCAAGTGCTCTCATTTCTCTAACCCTTGGTTTCTCCTTCTGCATAAAATTAGGTGACTAGGTGGGGCCAGTCCGGTGCCATAGTGGTTAAGTTTGTGCACTCCACTTTGGCGGCCCAGGGTTCGCAGGTTCAGATCCCTGGCACAAACCTAGCTCCACTCATCAAGCCACACTGTGGTGGCAACCTACATAAAATAGAGGAAGATTGGCACAGATGTTAGCTCAGTGATAATCTTCCTCAAGCAAAAAGAGGAAGATTGGCAACAGATGTTAGCTCAGGGCCAATCTTCCTCACACACACACACACACACAAATTAGAAGACTAGGACCTGTGTTTAAATTTAGATATGTGAAGATTAAATGAGATAATGTGTGAAGCACTCAGCGTGGTACCTGGTACATAGTAAACACTCAATAAATACAGGCAAAGTGTGGGACCAGCAAATGTTGACTGAGAATGCAAGGAGGTTACTGAGCAGCAGGAGGGACCATGAGGACCCAGCTGGGGCCCGAACTTTAAGCCAAAGGAACAAAGAGCCAGTTGTGAGAAACTCAGGCATCAATCAGCAGATGTGGCACACACGCACCCTGCCCTCCTCCCCATGTGATCCAACCCCCCAGCTCTCTGTGACAGCTAACCAAGGGTAGGCATGGAGGGCTCAATCATCAGATGGCGAGGACTTGGACAGCTTGGTTTTTGAATGTGTCCCAGTCCTGTGGATCTCTTCTAGGGGCAGGGGGCTTCTTGAGCTCCCTGTAGTCTGACCCTTCTGCCTGCCCTGGAGGCCAGCTTTGGGCCTCAGGCCTGTGGTGCCCTCTGCTTCATGCGCTGCTGTGCCCACAGGACCGGGGCTTCTGCGTGGAGGTGAACACAGCCTTTGAAGACTTCGCCCACGTCATAAGCTTTGACAAGAGGGCTGCTGCGCTGGACGCAGGCAACATCAAGCTGACCTTCAATAGTGTGAGGGGCTGGGCGGGGCGGGGCTGTAGCTAGGGCTCCGTTCTTGAACTCATCCCTGTGTCTTGTTCCATTCCTTCTTGCTCACTGCCCCAGTGTGACTGCACCCCCAGTTCAGGGAATGATAGTAGGAACCCAGACCCCAAATTCCTATCTCCTAAGGTATGCTGGAGTGGGACCTGGGCACTCACCTTCCTGAGTGACTGTTCTGTGTCCTTTCTGCCCTCAGCTGTTGGAGAAAGCAGAGGCGCGGGAGAGAGAGAGGGAGAAGGAGGAGGCACGAAGGATGCGGCGCAGGGAAGCTGCCTTTCGAAGCATGCTGAGGCAGGCCGTGCCTGCTCTGGAGCTGGGCACTGCCTGGGAAGAGGTCAGGACTGCAGCCTGGCACCAAACACCACCCCCTCAGTCCTGAGGGCAGCGGTGCTTCTCCACCATTGGGGGCCCACCCGAGTCATAGCACAGCTCGGGGCCAGCTCTGGCTCCCTTCCTTCCTCCTCCCCAGCCCTGCCCTGTGCTCATGGCGGCATCCATGCCGTGCTGGGGCTGGTCTGATCAGCAGTGCTCTCCCGTTCAAGGTCCGTGAGCGCTTTGTGTGCGACTCAGCCTTTGAGCAGATCACCCTGGAGTCGGAGCGGATCCGGCTCTTCCGGGAGTTTCTGCAGGTACTGGAGGTGAGGCAAAGCTTCTGGTTCTCTGGGTCTATCTCAGGCTCTTGAACACCTGAGGCCAGGTGAACAGAAACCTCAGTGATCTCTCACCCCTGGGGCTCTCCTTTTCCTGGACAGCTAAGGAAGGGAAGTCTTAGGGTGCCCTGAGATAGGCCTAAGGCCCTAGCCTCAGAGGAAGCAAAAGCAGGTTTTAGGATGCAGGGTCCTTCCTGGGTTAACCCTGGTGCCTTCCTCACTCCTCCTCTGTTCTACCAGACTGAATGCCAGCACCTCCACACCAAAGGCCGAAAACATGGCAGAAAGGGCAAGAAGCACCATCGCAAGCGTTCCCACTCGCCCTCAGTGAGTTGGCGGGTAGAAGGGATGGGTGAGGCTGGATTGTCTGGGACATAAGAACCACTTTTCTTGTTTTTCCCGTACATCACCTCCCTTGGAGGGAGATATGAAGATTCCTTTGGGCCTGGATCCTCCTCTCTGATCCCAATTCTCAGACCTGAGGGCTTCTGGAACCCAGAGAACTTCTGTGCTGACATGTATCCGCTCATCTGTCCAGGGCTCTGAGTCAGAAGAGGAGGAGCTGCCCCCACCGTCTCTCCGGCCCTCCAAGCGGAGGAGGCGGAACCCCTCGGAGTCAGGCTCTGAGCCCTCTTCCTCACTTGATTCCGGTGAAAGTGGGGGTGCTGCCCTTGGAGGACGAGGCTCCCCATCCTCCCGCCTTCTCCTTGGATCAGGTAAGCAGTTGGAGAAGTTGGCCCAGATGGAGAGGAGGCCCTTGGGGAGCCCCAACTCCCTGAGGACAGAGTGGATTGGGAGGGCTGCACCATCGCAGAGTAGGAAGAACTTCGCGTTCCTGCCCAGGCAGGAAACTGGGAGGAGGAAGGAAAACTGGACTGAGACTTCCTCACAGGTCTTTTTCTGTACAGAATGAGCAGATGGGACCATGGCAGAGAAAAGGATGAGCCTTCCCTTCTCCCATGGGACTTAGCGGGGATTTTCTATTTCCAGATCATGGTCTTCGGAAAGCCAAGAAACCAAAAAAGAAAACTAAGAAGAGAAGACACAAGTCGGTGCGTAGAGAAGGAACTTCTACCCAAGGCCCTGCTGTTTGTGAGGTCTCTTCCACCCGCCTCCTGGGCTGTCCTTCACAGGAACTGAGGGGGGCTCTGGGCTCTTACAGAACAGTCCTGAGAGTGAGACAGACCCTGAGGAGAAAGCTGGCAAGGAGAGTGATGAAAAAGAGCCAGAACAGGACAAGGACAGGGAGCTCCGGCGAGCAGAGCTCCCTAACCGCTCCCCAGGCTTTGGAATCAAGAAGGAGAAGGTGAGAAGCAGCTGCCTGGCCCCAGCCCTGTCAGTGCTCTGTCCAGGCGTCCACGGCCCTCAGGGTGGGGGCAGGGGAGGCGGCTTTGGGTGAGCTGTGCCTTTGCTTCACCAGACGGGCTGGGACACGTCGGAAAGCGAGCTGAGCGAGGGTGAGCTGGAAAGGCGGCGGCGGACACTTCTGCAGCAGCTGGATGACCACCAGTGACCTGACAAGCCGCTCTGCCTTGGGTCTGTGTGAGGCTCTGGCTTCTAGGTCACCCTCACCGTCTGCCCCAGACTCCTTCCTTAGTCTGTTCTGTGTCCACTTTTCCTCAAGTAACCCCACCCCTAACACACCATTGCTGGCACCTCCCAAAGTTGCTTGTGGTGTTGAAGGGTCCCCACTTCCCAGACGAATAGTGCAGTCCTTGCCCTCAGCCCCAGACAAGAGATTGGTGGTGTATGCCCTGTGGGGTGGGTGGTGCCAGTAGATAAAATGTGAGAAGGGCCTCCAGGGAAGAGTGACAGGCTGGTGGACACAGCCTGGGTGGCGGAGGGCGGGGTCCTTACCCTCTAGCATCAGTGCCTGCTCCTGCCTGCCCAGGCCCTAGGGTTCCACCACTCCTTCCTCCAGCCCTGGGACCCTGTGTATGTGTGTTTTGTTTTGTTTTTGTTTTTTAAATAATATTTATAACATGGCCAGTGGCTCTTTTGTCCTCTCTGTATGCTACGGGGGCAGGCTGGGCAAGGTGCACGCATGGCCAGCAGAGGGCACCAGTGTCTCACAGCAGGCCTGCCTCCCTTTGTGTGGTTGGAGCCCACTGCTGGGTCACCTTCTCCAGGCTTCTACACTCACCTCCCCCACACAGATGGTAGCACTGCCCAGCCTCCTTTCTGCCCCCATGCCTCAGGTCAGGCTAAATGGCCACTCTAGCCCCCCACACTCTGAAAGAGGAGACAAAGTCAGGCCTGGTGCTTCAAGCCTTTGTTGAGATAAGGAAGGTCTGGGGTTTATGTACAAGAGAGAAGGGAGGTGGTACATGTACAAAAGGGAGTGGGCCCCTGTATTCCCTTCCAGGGGCTGAGAAGAAACTGGCAGAGGACTGAGAAAATACTCAGCTAAGATCACCATGCCCCCTGCCCACTGCCAGAAAAAAAAACAAAACTAGCTGAGGAAAGGCAGTGAGGATGCTATTGGCACTCCCTTTCTCTAGCTGTCTTGGGGCAGGGGCAAAGAAAACCTCTACCCCTCTGCTCACCTCGTCAGGGAGAGCCAGCCTGGAATGAAAAGGGCTAAGAGCAGTGGGCATGGCATCTCTCTTCTACCCTTATCACTAGGGTACAGCAGGGCAGGGCCCATGGTTGGGTGGGCCTTGCTGCTGGTAAAAGATGATCTAAAATTGGCAAGGTCCTGGGCCTCCCTAAGCCCCGACACTTCTAGACCATAGCTGACCATGGGGCTGCAAAAAGGAAGGGAAAAAAAGAAGGGATTGTGGCTTTCTCCTTTCGTCCCTCTGGCTCTCGTGAGAGTGAGGTCTGGGTACCCCTGTATAGGCTAAAGCTGGAAATGTTTTTTTCCAGCTCTGAGCTGACCCTTCAGGAAATGACGTTCAAGACTTTAGGGGCAAAGTGCAGTACTGGCGGCACCAGGGAAGTGCCAGGCCCCAAAAGACCTGGTGCCCAAAGTTGTGGCAGGCAAGATGCAGCTTTGAGAGCTGGGGTGGACACTGGGTTGAGAGCAGCATAGCCCTCTGCTGGGCCCTTGGCCAATTCCAGGGCTCCAGGTCCACTGGTTGGACTTGCAGGACTCTGAGGGTTGAAGTGCTTCTGCCTCCAAGAGGGTCTCAGTGGGGGCCTGGAGCCCGAGGGGGGCCACTGGGCGGCACGGCACTCCTCGCTTGGTGGCAAATGACACTGGGTTGGTGGTGGAGGCCTGTGGGGAAGACAGAGGCCTGTGAACAGGCAGGGAGGCTGGGGCAGTCCCCACCCTCTGTAGGAAGAGTCCCTTCAGGAGCAGCCCAACAGGCAGGGCCAGAGAAGAGCCAGCCGTGAGGCTGATGAGGGAGAGGCTTAAAGAGAGGCTGGAAGGGAAGGTCAGGGAGATTGTTGGAGCTCTGCATTTTCAGAGGACCAGTGGGAATGAGTAGAGGCCACTGGGCAGTGGCAGAAACAAAGTAAACTCAGCAAGAGCCGGAAGTTGGGAAGAGACCCCAGGCAGATTAAATATCAGGAAACAGAGGTCAAGGGACATCTGATGCTCCTGGGCAGAAGGTACTGCCAGAGCTCTTAGGGAAGAGGGAACCTGAGGGGGGAGGCAAGGACAAAGGATACCTGGGCCCAGGAATGGAGCCTCTCAGCCTCAGCGACCAGAGGCAGTGGCCTGGTCCTGCCTGCTCTGGCAACTCCCTACCCCTTGGGTCTTAGTAGAAGCCAGGACAGCATTAGTGGGAGAGATACCACTCCCCTGAGGGCACATGCAGGGGATAAGCCACACTTCTCAGAGCATGGGGCATGCAAGGAGAGAAGTACGTCTCCATCACCACGAAGCTGCCAGAGGATAGTTCCAAGTCATGCAGGGGAGGAGGTGCCTCTGGGCCCCAGCAGGAGTCCTGGGAGGTGGGCATGCAGAGGAGGCAGCTGTGGTGCCCAGTACCTGGCAAGGGCCCCAGCCTTGGGGGTTAACAGTTTGACTCATCATGGTGGGCTGCATCGCAGAAGAAGCGTGAGCCCCTCTTGGCAGTACGGGCCGTGAAAGGGACACTCTTCAGCACTGTGGCCCAGGAGAGAGACACAGTGGTCAGGCCGCATGGGTGTAGGGTAAGAGAAGGGTCCGAAGGGGTAAGGTGGGGATTTGGGAGCTGGGCCCAGTGGCCGGGCCCCAGGAAGGGAAAAGGCCCCACCTGTGATGATGTCCTCAATGGTACCATCCTTCCCCTCGTAAACAGGCCGGTGCTCCTTGGCCTGGCGCCGCCTCAACTCTGCAATTAGCTCCTGCTGTTGCCACTTGTTCCGCTGGGATGGAGTCTAGAGCAGAGCATTTGAAAGAGGAGGGAATCACAACTAACCTACCTTGGGGTTCGTTCCTGCCTCAAGACGGAGTCTGAGGATGCCTTTGGTTGTGCATGGCAGCCTAGCCCCCATCGTTGCCTTGGAATCAGCTCCCAAAGCCCCGATCTCCATCCCTCTGGACTCTAGCCTCAGGCCCTCTGGGGTGGTCTGTGGGCTCCAGTTTTCCATCTCCTCTCGAGCTCTCTGCTCCACCCTCTCCTAATCCTTTGCCCTGTTCTCCAGGCCCCAGCTCTTGGTCCCACCTACCTTGGCATCCAGTTTCTTGGCTTCCTGAGCCAGCTGCTTCTCCCGCATTACCTCCTCTTGCTTCTTTCGAGCTTCGTTCTCTTGTTCTGCTTCCTAAGAACCGTTGTTGGGGGGTAGGGCGGGATGAGTCTCACACAGGCTGTGAGGGGAGGGGCTGACACTGAGGGTGGAGAGTGGGTGGCAGTGGGACCAGCAACCCCAGGTGGCCACCCTTTGGAAGGGCACTTCCTGCCCAAACAATGACAGGAAGAGCCTGGGCCCCCACCCTGCCCACCAGTTCACAGCTAAGAGGCCTGTGGCCAGCTTCCACGCTCCCTCCCAGGACTCAGAGGAGGAGACGGAAAAGGCCAGACTTGAAGTCCAGCCCTCTCTCCCCCACCAGTTTTCTCTCAGACAGCCTCCTCTTTAAAAGCCTCTCTTCCACTTACCTTATAAGAACGAATGAATCGGACAAATACTGGGAAGAATACAGAAGGAGGTGTGGTCTTGGGACTCTCACCGAAGTAGCGCACAACTGCATTGTAGGCCTCCTGGGGAAGGGGTGGGCAGAAAGAGTCAGCCTGGCAGGGAAGGAGAAGCCCGGCTCCCCACCAGGGACAGGAGGCCCACAGAAAGTAGCCCCAGCCCCTGCCGACTGGAAAAGCCCCAGGCTCCCAAAGCTCCCTAGAGTGCATGTCTCTAGAGACAGCGGCCTGCCACCCCCAACGCCTCCTGTCCTCCACACACAGCCAGCCAGCCGCTTGATAAAAGTTCTTTGATCCAAAAACCAGAACTAAGCCCACCTAGAGGGGCACAGTGCCTTGGCCCTGGCTGCTCCTACCCGCCTCCACCCTGTGCTTGCCTCAGCTGTCTTGGCGTCGCGCTGGAGCTTGTCCAGTTTGCCTTCATTGGTGCTGAGGAAGTTCCGAAGGACGCTGTTGTCATGTATGCTGCACTCCCGCCGAATCAACTCCATGCCCCGGCCCAGCTCCTTCACATCCAGCAGCACGTTCTCCAGGGACACTGTAGTCACCAGAGCCTGGGTTGAGGCCTGCCCAGGGCCTAACATGCCCACCTCCCAGCCTAGGGGTATAGCAAACTGTGGCCCTCCCCCTCTGCATGGCTCACTCAGCTTGTCATGCCTCTGCTGCCTGAGCCACCCGTGTTGACAGGGGCACACCAAGCCAGCCAGGCTGTCACATGGGCAAAGGAAAAGGAATGGAGGCTGTGAGCTCTTGACCCCAAAGAGCAAGGTAGCAAAGGAAGGCAAGCCAGAGAGACTGCTGGTTTCCAAAACAGCTGCCGCAGGCCTGCCTGTTTCCACCAGTGGGGCAGAAATAACAACTAGCTTATGGCTGTGGGGGACTTTATGGTTTTTCTAAGCACTTCACATACATCATAGAGAAATGCAGTCTCCAGGGCCAGCCTAAGGGAGCTGCGAGCAAAGAGTCACTGCTGCCCTTCCTCTGCCTGCTCCCACTGCACCCAGGGAAGGGCTGTGCCTGCAGGAAGGCTCCTTCTGGGGTGGCCCCTGCCTATGGCCCCACTGGAAAGCTTTGAAGTGGTCAGAAAGAAGATAACAAAAGCCAGCAACAAAAAGGACTCAAGTGTTCCCTCTGCTCATAGCTTCCTGGAATTGTCCTGGGCTGGGCATGAGGGCAGGCTCACCGGGCCAGGCTGCCCTCACCTGCTGCCGCCTTCTCCACAAAGTGCAGCTCGTGCCAGAAGGTAGCCAGGTCTGGGTATTTCTCCTTCACCGTCAAGGCAATGAAATGCAGCAGTGTCATCTTCCTGTCAGTGGACTTGGTGTCCAGCAGCTAGGAGAGGGGGTCGGGGCAATGTGAGAGGGCTAAACCCCTGGATCCACAGCTGCTGCCCCTTCAGGCTTCCTGGCCCCATGTTGCCACCACCATCTTACCAGATCCAGGCTCTGGAGCTTGAAGCCATACACAGCTCCCCGCTTGCTGCTGTTCATGTAATTCCCCAGAGCAAGTATGATCTGCCCAAAAAAATACATGGTAGGAGGTCAGGCCAAACCCTGAGGGCTCCTTCTTCCTCACTGTATAGCCCCAGGCTCCCACCCAGGACCTGGGAACCACCAGCACCCCCATCTGCAACCTCTCCCCACCTCCAACATCTGCTTCAGCTTCTGTGAGGACTTGACAGAGGCAGAGGCTGCAATGATGGCATTGAGTTGCTGGAAGGCAAGATGAAGAGCTAAGTAACCCCAGGCCAGGATGGGGCCGAGTGAGTGAGGGGCTGGAAGGACTGGTAGGGCAGGGAGGTAACTAGCAGGCGGACAGTAGCTGCAGAGACCCATGAGTTGGGCGGGGGCTGTACCGGTGTGAGCATCTGCAGGTTGTCCTGGAAGTTGCCCAGGAAGGCCATGCCAGCCATTCGCTGGG